TTGGCGCTGGACGTCGAAAAAGCATGGCATATGACATATTTGAATTCTACTTAATCGGAGGACAGGCCCCTCCAAGATTTTTCTCGTGCATTATCATGTACGCATTTCGCATCATGTACCTTTCTTTCTTATCACATATTTTAGATTTGGGTGGAGTTTTCTCTTTCGATTTACGAGGCGTTGTTCGGTCAAAGGTATCATAGAAGGATTCGGGTATCAACCAAGGACTAGACCTATGGTTTTATTTCAATAATGAAAATATTATGAAGGAGCTGGTCGCACATAGTCAGCAAGGATCATGTACATCATTTATACTCTGTGCACCTTGTTAACACGAGTCGGCATTTACAAGCAAAGGATCATCTGAATCTACAGCAGAACCTGTGGCAACAGACACCTAAGTAAGGCACACCAGTCCTACCAGAAGTGCCCACCACAGCCAGTTTCAACCCAACACTCAGCAGAAAGCGTTCATCCATACAGGAACGACTGAGTCTAAGCTCCTAGGCTTAGGCATCGTCATCTACCCCCGACCCCATTCAAAGTATCCTTCATGTCATACCGTTCTCCTACTGTGGAGACACATCACTCTCAAGTGACGACGGCACTGCATTAGGCGACCTACCATTCGGTCCGGCCAAGCTTCCCCTGTCAGAATGAACAACACTACCGCCGGCCCGTCCAGATCGGGCAAGCAACACGCTCCAACCGCAGAAACGGAGGAGGTACAGCACTTCGGCTGGTATCACCGCTGCTCACAACAACACCAAGCTCACAGGTTGGCAAATTTGACCGCGCACATACCAACGAAGAGGTGCTCGGACCAGCACCTGAGTCAGGAACGATTCCGGACGAATAAATGGACGACTACGACGACGATGAAAGCGATTATGGTAGCGGTTAGGTAGAACTGAGACAAGCGCGGTGTGTGGCGCAAGCTTTGAAATGCATCTGATCTTATGCACCTATCCTCTGAACACCAAGTCTAGAGCTAGGCGATCAGATGCAGGACCGTTGATCCATAAGATCAAAGATAAAAGCCTCTCGACCTGCTGCCGGAGTGCGGAGATTTTTTTCCAGTCTCTTGATCAGCGATCACCTTTTGCCCGTCCCGGAGTATCGAGTTACTTGACCAGGTATTCAATCATCAGTCGGAATGAATGCCTCCCTGTACCCCTACAAAGGGGGTTTCAAAGTTTTCGCCAGAATCACCGCTTTCAATTTTTCTATTCTGCCGACCTCAACGCCTGCATACGCGATACACACGTAGATGGCGCGATTTAGGGAGCCTAAACCTACTCTTCGTGCTCGAATCAGCGAGCTATATGATATCGGATGGGGGTATAAGCGCACTTATACACAATATCCTGACAAACCTCTATCTACAATCAGATACTCGGTTGAGAAGCAGAACCTACGCATTGATCAGCAACCCTTACCCCGAAGTGGCCGTACAATCCAAAAACCTTAACTAGTGAACTACAGAATTGTCTACTTGACCTTGCAACGAAGGATTCTTATAGTAAGAGAGGTGTTGCAGTTAAACCCTTCCCACCAAAGATCACAGTTCACATATGCGCAAATAGAAGCAACGAAATAAACCAGAAATCACTGAAGGGATTGCTACTAAGCATTTACAATAGGCTCAGTCTTACGCTCGTAGAGGCCTGGTGATTGGAGATGGGTGAAATGGTCAGATGCATGCTCAGTTAAGCGTGGTAAAGGTGTTCACCCTATATAGACATTAACAGTCCATCTCAACAATTTACTGAGCATGATGTGCAGCGTCTCTGATGTGGAAAGGGTGTAAAGAAGATATGTTGGGCTGTATTTGGATATAATACCTGCACAGGCCTTGTCCCTCTAGATGGTTACCAGAAGTCTAGAAAAAGTTGGGATTATTATGTCTACTGGCCGTGAGAATCTATACGGATTCCTAATCAGGCTAGCGGTAAATACGATTGGATTCAAACTTTTGACATGCCACTGTACCCAAACGTACCTAGGATTTACAAGCCACAGAACTCACTGCTCAAGTGTCAAGTGTACCTAGGTACCTCGGAGATCGACTGAATAAACAGTAGTGATTGGATCAATGCGTTGTGGCTCAGAAATTATCCGAATTGGGTAGGACTTGTGGCCGTGCTCTCCCCGGATGTCTGAGCTTTACCGCTTCCGGGTTGTACCAAGCACCAACTGTATCGATGGAGCAGCTATGATCATGTTTATGCCACATGCAAAGTGAGTGTACGGTACTGGTACTACTTTGCTATTGTTAACATCTACACGAAATGTCGATCGCCATCTAATTGCGGCGTGAAATTGGGGTTGTGTATGGATATGGGTGCTCTACTACGTCAGTCGGGTACTCGAGTATAACTAGAGGGGAATACTCCCGAGTTTGTATAGTAATCGGCAGGCAAGGAAGAGCTCAAAGGTCAGGCAAATGGCCCGGTTCCCAGATAGAGAAAAGCTTAACGAACCCATGTGAACGAGTTCTGCAGTCAGACAGACTAAAACAAGGGTTTTGTCTGAGCTATCAAACGTTGGCGTGAATTGAAGTTGGCAAATGGCCAACTGAGGGGTTGCACAACGCAAATCAAGAAGTAGTGACCTCATCGCTCTCAATCCGGTGAACGGGCTCCTTTTTAAATACTCGCATTCCTAACTACCCTTTTTCCTATCTATCAACCAAGCCAGAACGTATAGACTTCTTTCGCTTATACCCTCCGGCATAAGAGAGATTTTGATTTTCTATTTTGTACCTGGTATGTGTCCATCTAGCGATTTGGTCTAGTTGTCTAGCATCTGGCTATTGACCGCTCCGACCCACTCCCTCCGCTTTAATTGTTGACCCCTCCAACTAACTATCTATAGTTACGTATTCGCATTCGCAGTAGACTACGGGGCAGTAGCACGTACTACGGCAATAGCTGAGCCTAGTCCAAGCCAGCGCTTCGGCCTCCACAATCTCCCGCAATTGCATCTTTTTTTCTTCTTCCCTTGTATTGCGGAACCAAGTCAATCGACTTCTGTTTGTTTTATTCTACTTCAAATTTAGCGCTTTTTATTCAGTCAAGGATGTCGGCCGCAGCCAGTCCCGTGGAGCAGAGACTCCCTCACCGTTCGTCGACGATGCGGAGCTCCATCGGTCCGGACCGTCGGGCGTCACTGAGCGACGACGAGGCCGTCCCGGGTTCGGATACCAATGAGGTATGTCTACGGTCTGCTGCTGATGGGTAAATACTGACGACGCTGTGCTGAGCAGACGACGGGCCTTCTCCTTGAGCGTCTCCGTGCTTGGAAACACATGTGTGGTTATGTGGAAGATTATGTGGAAGTCACAGCCAAAGTGCAGAAGTCGCAAGCGAAGGATTATGAGAAAGTTTTGAAGGTATGGATGAACTTTTGTCCAAGATGGTATCAAAGGATGCTGATACTGCCCGGGTAGACTGTCAGCGATCCCCTTCGGGAGGGGCACCATTTCTCTCAGAGTGCCGGCGGGGTTTCGGCATGGTTTGAAAATATTCGGAGCAATACTCAGGTATTGGTTCTTGACATGTGTTCCTGGGGTTCGCAGCCACTGATGGATTACGTAGGGAATCGTGAACGGGTACCTTGACACGGAAAAGAACTTGAAAGGATCCGTGCTGCCGACACTTCAGCGTCTCCACAAGGAGATCAAGAACAAGTCCAAGGAGCTGCAGAACGGCGCAAGTAAGAGCGCCAAGGCTGTTGAAAAAGCACGAGGCGTGACGCAGAAACATATCGAGCTTCTGGCTCAACAGGTTGCGGCATTTGACTCAACTGCGGGCAACAAATTCGATCACGCCCACGACCCATACATCTTGCGCCGCGGAGTCAATCACCGGTTGAACAAGCAAGTCACCGAGGAGAACAACAACCGTCAGGACATCATTGCCGTGCAGAACAACTTTCAGCAGTTCGAGGCGCATGTTCTGCAAACCATCCAGTCCGCGATCGAGCAGTTCAACGTATTCGTGGGCGGCCAACTCGACCGGCAGCGGAGCATGTATAACGACATCTTGGGCGCTGCTCAGCGCATTCCTCCAGACTATGAATGGGTTAATTTCATTACACGCAACGCCAACGTGTTGGTGGACCCCGACTCACCGCCGCGATCGCTGTCCAACATCTCTTTCCCCAACCAGGATCACCGCGCCACCGTCCCGCTCATCGAGGGCAGTCTGGAGCGCAAGTCCCGGGCCATGCTGAAAGGTTACAGTACGAGCTATTATGTTGTCACACCTGCGCGATACCTGCATGAGTTCAAGGACAATGACGACTTCCGCCAAGATCCGTCTCCCGAGCTGTCTCTGTACCTGCCCGACTGCGTGGTTGGCGGCGTCGACGGTAACAAGTTCACCATCAAAGGCAAGGATGTTTCCGGCGGCAAGGTCGGCAACGCCTTCCACACCACCAGCGAGTTCAACTTTAAAGCGCATACTCCGAGTGACGCGGAGAAATGGTGGAACGTCATCCGCGACGCAGCCAAGAGTGGCCCGGCACACTCGCCAGTGTCTCCCACCAGCCCTGTAGCAGCCGGGGGTGCTGCCGCTGCTACCACCGAGAGTGGTGCTGCTGCTTCGGCCCCGCCTCCTACTACTGCTACTGCCGATGCTGCCGCAGTCGAGGCACACCCTCCGGCCTACAAGGAGCAGGAAAGCTTTGCGCCAGCCACGCAGCAGAAGACCACTGCCGGCGAGGCGGCGACTCCCACCACTCCAGCACCCGAGACTGGGCTCAACCGCTCGACCAGTTCTGCGGCGGGCCACTACCACATGGGACCGGGTGGATCAGCCGTTGCACCTGATGCACCTGCTTCCGGTATCGAGAAGTCGTGAACCAGCCATGCGAAGCTTCTGATTTACTTTTTTTCGTCTATCGTATAGTATAATATCGATCATGTCTATAGGATGGCAATGTACTTAATCAGTATACCTCGAGAATCCGTACTGTATCCAGTATATCCACTGAGATCACCTATCAGTATCAGTAGCCCGGGTATCATCAATCCGACCCTCCGACTCATTCCCTGCCCCCTCCCAAACCAACACAACAATCGACTTCACCCCTCCCCCGCGATCCAGCGGCACAACCGCCCAATCCTCCAACTCATACTCCAGCCGAAACCCATTCTTCTCAAACACCCGCATACTAGCCCTATTATCCGCATACGCCGACGCCTTGATCACCCGCGCATTCATCCGCGGGACCGCCCACTCCTCAATCACAGCCTTGATCACAGCCGTCATAATACCTTTGCCGTGGTGTGTCGGCGAGAGATAATCTTAGTCAGTCAGCATCTCACCTTCATCACCTAGATATACAGATACGTGTATATGGCCAAGGAGGAAGGGGCAAGGGAGACATACCACCAAACCCCCAAACAATCTCCGGACTACCAACCCTCAACGCTTCGTTCCTGCGGACTGCCTCCTCGCGCTCCGGCGTGCCCTTTTTGAACTCGTAGAAGGCGTACCGGATTAGTCCAACGTTGCCGATGTAGACGTCACTGTTACTGTCGTTGGTGACCTCCCGGATGCAGGTGAATGGCAAGCCGTCGACGAAGCGGTTGGTTTGCGCTGCGTGCAGGAGGGCGGTGGATTGTTCGTGCGAGGTCTGCAGCCATGCGGTGGCGTGTTCGGGGAGGTATGGGACCGGGGTGGATTCGAGGTAGGGGTAGATCTGGGGGTTGTTGAGGAGGGAGAGGAGGGCGGAGGAGTCGTCGGCGTTTGGTGGGCGCGCCGGGGTGATGATGATGGATGAATGGGGGGCGGGGAGGGGGATGTACGGTTCTTTTGTTATGGGGTTGATTAGGATGGGCATGATGACTGGAAATTAGGTCTGTAAATGTAATTTGATGTAAGTGCACCTTGAGTTGGGTATACGGAGTACATGTGGCTATATATGTTCTGTTGTGAGTCACGGAAAAGGGTACGAGTCATGGTATAGGAACAATAGGATACTACATAGCGGCTTGGCTGTGGATATTGACTCAGGTAAAGACACAATGATACTATACACAAATCCAAGACCGAAGTCTTCAACCTCGTATTGACCCTGGAGTTGAGGTTAGCCTCCCCGGCGGACCCATCCATATTTCTTGGCTGTGGATATTTCGACTCCAAGGTCTGCACAAGAGGACAAAGCGCAAGACGGAGAACTGATGCTTCATGTGTACACAGTGCTGCGGCTGCAGGAAACAAAAATGGGAATCGGGTTCTCAAATGCGACCAAGACGGATATCTCTCACAAATGACCGGAACGCTCAGAAATGTATATGGAACAGAGGAAATCGTACAGACTCATGATTTGAATAACGAGAGAAAACTAAAAATCCTCAGGACTCTCAAGGTCCGCCAACTTCTGACTGAGAAACCTTCCCAAAGCGGCAGCCTTTGACTCGAGCGCCAAGAGCGTCGAGGGCGATGCAGACAGATTCAAGCTCGCCAGACGAGCGAGATTGCTGCTCCGGTCCATCTCGTACTGCGTCTCTAGCTCCGCGTCTGCTTGTACGTCAGCTGCGCTCTCGTTGCGAGAGATGCTGGTCGGGGTAGAGGTCGTGGTGGCCGGCGCTTGGCTGGTGTATGTACCGTTGGTGGTTGGCCGGTGTGCATTCGACTCCGTTGCCGATGTCACCTCTGGCCCCGATTTCGCAAAGCCGTTTTGGTGAACTTGCGTTCCAGCGACAGAACCGGCCTCGTCGGTGTCAGACTTCGACGGCCCCACGGCGGCCAGCAGGACTTTGTCCGCTATCCTGGTCACAACGGCCACTGAGTCGTCAAGCTCAAAGACAATCGAGCCTACGTCGCCTAGCGACACCGACTGTGCCGTGACATATGATGACGGGTGACTGGCTGGGTTCACGCCTGTCAGATTCCCGCTCGAGGCATTCTTCGCATAGCAAGTATAGGCAGCTCCGTATGTCGCGCTCAAGTTGCGCAACTGCCGAGACGAAAGCGACGAAGCATATGCGAAGATGGCGCCGTTTGTGGCAAACACCCTATGAGTCGTAAATGTCAGCATTGTTACACCAGTAACAGGAAATGACATCAGCATACATGATCGTAGTGATCTCCGGAGGCGAGAGGTTGTCCTCTAGCAAATCGCTGAGGGCCTCTGCATCGAGCATTCGAATGTCCGGAAGTCCCGGAATCATCGTGTTGTCGTAGCAGTCGTGCTCAGAGTCAGTTCCGTCGGCAATCTCGTCTTCGGACCTGTCGTCTTCAATAACCCAGTTGGGAGGCGGAGACCAGGAACAGTCCTCGGGGAAAAAGAAGCAGTTGTCCGAGTAGTCTTCGTCGTCGTGATCGTACTCAATAGGTTCGTCTGAGCACTCAAGGAGATTCTGCGCGTGCTGAACGTGGCTTTGTGCCCAAGGTGGCAGATGTGGAACCTCGAAGACTCCGGCAGCTTTCCGATTCAAATGAGCAGAGCGAACTGGATATTTAAATTCAGCCATCTTTCCTCTAACAGAGATGGATTCGAGATAGAGTGTATGGATGAGCAGGCCAGGGAAACAGAAAAGTACAAGAATGAACAACACCAGTGGTGACAGTCACACAAGGCAGCAATACGGCACCTGCGTCAGCGGAGAAGTCTGAGTCAAGGCGCTTCCTGTTCAAGAAGACCAGGAGATGATCTTCAGTAGCACAAGTAATCCAACGCAAGAGAACAAACGGTCCTTTTTCTATTCAATTTTCAAGGGCAAGGAAAACAGGAAGTTCTGATCTGGCGGCCTCATTCAAAGTCCAGAACAAACAGCCCAGAACCATCATGGAGATAGAGCTTTCGCGAGTCACGACGTCGTCGAGGAAAGTGGGGATTGAAGGCTGTGGGGGAAATAAAAACGTAGGCAAGAATGTGAGGTGCCATATTTATTTTTCTTTTTCTGAATAGCCGCAGTAAGGCGCCAGAAATGAAGACAGGCTCCGAAAAGGGGAAAGGGAAAATACCAACAGGAAAAAGAAAAGAAAGGCGGAAATAGTCCGGGGAATGGTTGGCTGAGCTGTTGGCGATGCTGAGCCTGAGCACAAGAGAGGCACAGATGAGAGTGACAGAGAGAACGGTATAGGAATTCCACGGACCTTGGTAGATCTATGCAACGACCAGCGTTGACAAGTCAATGAATAGCAGATTCTGATAATATGAAGCTGCAGGATCGCAGATTATTATTAGTTGTCTGACAACAGTAAGCAGAAGAAGCAGAGCGGATGAGATGAGAGAGGGTCGAGGCGCTGGGGGATTCATTTGATGATGGAGCGGAAAGCGGAGAAGATCAGCCGATTGAGGTGCCTGGTTTATCAGGCAGATCTGAACCACCGTCAACTGAACTGAACAGGCCATATCCCATATCCCATATCCCATATCCTCTAAAGATAGAGATTCGGCGCTAAAAGAGCTTACAGCGGATATATATTCACTTGATGGTTATCGGGCTACTATCTTGTAGGATTACCCAAGCTACGCTTCGTACCATTCTAATACCTCTAGTTCTGTGACGTACGTAGCAAAAGACGAGCATCCATCACCACAGAGTTTACAGCAGCTTCAATGCCTCACTTGCATAGTTTTCAGTCCCAGACGAAGACGACGTCGTATCTACTGATTGAAGATCCCCAATTGGAACCGATTAGAAGAGGTAGGAGTATAAATTACCAATCTGACTCCAATGTTGGGGTATCCCACCATAGCGTCATAGGTGACCCCACCTTTTATTACTCTTTTTTTCTCCTCACGCCGCTCACTAATAATAACAAGACGCTCACCACTTTACCCCTCCGCTGCTTTCTTTTGCTCCATGTTCGCTTGTCGTTTTCTTCCTGCGTCTCGTCCTTCTCTCAAGGTCCCCATCCCAAGAAACTTCATCCTATCAGGTATGCGTCTCTCATATTCAAGCGGTTCTCTACCCCCACTTGAGAGCAAATCATTTGCTAATGAGCTGCAGCAGGAACCTCTACTAGATTGTTGGCAACCATGGCGACAGAAACCTCCAAGTATAAGCTTAATCGTTAGTGTCTTTCTCCATGATTGGACCTAGAGTGACTAGGTATAAGTGCTTGAGTTTAACATAGCTTGCAGACACTATGATCCGGGTCAAGGACCCAAAGAGATCAGGTGGGTAGCCCGAATAACTATGCAGCCATTGGCTTGGGCGCTGATTGCCTCATCTGTCTTTTTCCTTCAGTGGAATTCTACAAGTTCCTTGGGCTCAATCAGATCCAGCAGCTCGACTTTCCTGAGAACAAGTTCTCCCTCTACTTCCTCGCCTACAATGGCCCCCAGTCGCTGCAGGGCGACCGTCACTGGACGGACCGCAATGCCGTGTTGGAACTCACGCACAACTATGGCACGGAGCATGACCCCAATTACACTGTTGCCAATGGGAACACGGAGCCCCATCGCGGTTTCGGACACATCGCCATCTCGGTCGACAATATCGAAGCGGCCTGCAAGAGACTCGAAGACGCTGGGTATCAATTCCAGAAGAAGCTCACCGAGGGCCGCATGAAGCACATTGCGTTTGCAAAGGATCCCGATGGATACTGGGTTGAGATCATCCGCCGCCACGACCAGGACGTGGGGACTGCGACAGATCCAGGCACCTACCGACTGAATCATACCATGCTCCGGGTCAAGTCCGCCGAGACTAGTCTCAAGTTCTACCAGGAGGTTATGGGCATGACCCTTGTCCGCACGATCGAGAATAAGGATGCTGCCTTCAATCTTTACTTCCTTGGTTACCCTGCATCCAACCCCACTGCGCAGGAGGGCGCGAAGAATCCTGTGGCTGAATGGGAGGGGCTGCTCGAGCTTACCTGGAACTACGGTACGGAGAAGCAAGAAGGCAAGGTTTACCACGATGGTAATTCGGAGCCTCAAGGGTTCGGTCATATCTGTAAGCCACCCCGTCATCTTTGCCATGGTCGAACTACGCTAACGCCAGTGTGCCTGCAGGTGTCTCTGTTGACGATCTCAATGCTGCCTGCGATCGGTTCGAGTCGCTCAACGTGAACTGGAAGAAGCGTCTGACAGACGGGCGGATGAAGAATGTGGCGTTCATTCTTGACCCGGATGGTTATTGGATCGAGGTGATCCAGAACGAGACGTTGAAACGTACCAGCAATTGGTAAATAGTAGCCTGTCAGTATCATTTGTATGCCAGGTCTGTGGGGGGTTGTAAATAGTCATTCCAGTATTATTAGTCAAGCATTCGCGTAATACTGCGTCCATTATTGTGGTCACTCTCCTTGCGTGGTCAAGTGACTCTATCCCCTCTCTCGTTAGTAGTTGCAGAATCAGCCACACAGTGTGTACAGAAGCCATCCGCCTTGCCACCTGCCTACCTAAAAGTCTAAAAGCCTCATGAAGCTGTATTATGCTGCGTCTATCGCGGCCGAGTCTTATAGGCTGGGCTCTCCTCAGGCCTGGTGGATCCTCTCATCCCCGCTCCACTGAAAATTGTTGCGATTCTGGACGTTCCCCAGAACGGAGTCACTCTTAGTCTTTCGCCCAACCACATCGAGTTCCCCTCCCAGAAAAGCATGTTCTGCATCCATTCCATCTTTATGATTCTTGATCTGAGCATGTCGCTAGTCCATCAAGCTACTGTGGAGGTCGAATCCATGACTGGGAGTTGAGAGTCCATTCTTTGCTCTTATTGGTGTTCCCGACTACTTTTCCTCTTGCGACTGAGCGCTCAGTGTTGCCGCAATGGTGACCATGCAGTCTCAGTCCGAGAAGCCTAAGAAGGCTCCGCGTAAGCATGTCACTACGGCTTGCGTCCCCTGTAGAGAAAGTAAAATCAGGGTCAGTTGGTCGCTTTTCCCGTTCGACTCTATAGTTCATACTGACTACTATCCAGTGCGACGGTACGACTCCACATTGTCGCAACTGCGAGAGAAAAGGGAAGGATTGCAGATACCAGCATGGCGATGACAAGCGGAAGTAGGTGTCGTCTCGCTCCATTTTTCCAGGCACTTTGGCTGGTTTTCGTGATATGCATCTTGTGCTTCTCGTCACGGGCACCCCATGATAGAGACGAGCGACAAGCGAATTTCTCGATTTTGGCCCAGGCTGCGAAAGGCTCGCTCTGGACTTCGTTTGATGAAGAACCATCAGAAACTGACCGTCTTGACTCCAGAGTCTCGCTTCGTGCTGCTACGGAGCTCTTTTCCGCCAGAATTGACCAGCTTTGTCAGTTCATTTATGACCATGGGCTGGAGCCACCCCCTATGAAGCCCGAAGATGAGGCGGGCATGAATCGGGTTCTGGATACACTTCAGATTCCTCGCGCAGTTGTGAAGAGGAGCAGTCCTGGGAAGGTTGATGCGCCAAATGTGCAACCCAGACCGGCGACTCAGCAATCTCCCGAGCGAAACTCACCTGATGTTCCAAGTATAGAAGGGCAGCCTGTACAGGACAGTGCCCTTGGAGCGGCTCACAGTCTCATTCCTTCACCCCCTCACATGTCGTCGGCTGAGAGGAGCCAAGAACCAGTCAACTTCTTTGGCGTCAATCCGGGCCCGTCCATCAACTATCCTTCCACGCACTGGGGCTTTACTCTTCCAACGGCGGAGAGCCTAGGGTCCATCTACGCTAACTTGGACGGTGCGTCCAATTACCAGAACGAGGGCAGCATCAGCAGCCCCGACAGCTTGCCTTTACCTCCAGACTTTACTCAACAGCCGGGAGTCATGTTGGGCCAGGCCCAGAATGACACTGATAATGATTCGGAAAGTGGCGAAGAGGACGAGGCTGAAAACGATGTCATTGAACAGCTATCCCATCGCATTGGGACGTTGAAGATCGCCGGGGATGGCCACCTGCGGTTTTACGGAGCCACGTCGAATCTCAACCTGGTGGACGTCTCGGCGACCCAACAACGCCAGCGACCTGATGCTCGTACTGTTCGCCATGATGGACAGGATATTCTGAATCATCTGCGTGTCGGACAGCCTGTGGATCAGGCTCTCGAGGATCATCTTGTCGAGCTTTATTTCACTTGGCAGGATCCTAGTACATACGTGGTTGACAAGGAGATGTTTATGACGGCGAGGTCGAGGTGGAGGAATGACCTCGACGACACGCCGTTTTATTCAGAAGTTCTGACAAATGCCATGTATGTTCTTGCCATCATTGCCATGAACCTCATTAACAGGATTGTAGGTGTGCCGTCGGCAGTGCGTTTGAAGCACGGTACCACCCTACTTTTATCACGTTTCCCAAGTCGCTTTCCGAATTTTTCGCGGATCGAGCCAAGGCTCTTTTGGAAATTGAACTAGATTCGCCCTGCGTTGCCACAGTGCAGGCGCTGGTCATTTTAAGCTGTCATGAGGGAGCATCGAATCGTGATGCACGCGGTTGGCTCTATAGTGGTATGTTGGAACCAAGCAAATGGAGGGTTAGAGCTGATTATCTTCAGGAATGTCAATGCGACTTGCATTTGACCTCGGATTACACCTCGACATGACTCCGTACGTTGAAAAAGGCGACATTAGCGCGTTCGAAGCGGATGTGCGTCGCATAGCGTTCTGGGGAAGCTATACCGCGGACCAGTAAGTTGCAAGCTGGTTGCTCTACCGCCACCGTCTCTGACTGATCATGATCCAGTTTCTGGGGCTTTTACCTAGGACGGCCTTTCCGGACCAATGCCGGAGACATTACTGTCCCCAAGCCCGCGTCGGACCTTGGTGCAGCAAAGGAGAGCATATGGTATCCGTATGGCCTAGATACGAAATCAGTGGTGCTACAGCATGGGTTGAGGAATCCGAATGAGCTGATCAGCAGACAATTCGCGGTGCTTTGGGAGATCATTCTACCCATCGGCCATATTCTGTGAGTCTTGCAGCAATGGTTATCAACTTCAGCAACTGACATCGCTCCAGGTATGGTTGCTCTGATATTTCTCGACATGATCTCCAGAGGCTGTGCTATAACGTTACTGAGGATCTTTTCGCCTGGAAGGAAAACCTACCTTCCAACTTGAAAATTGACCTTGACGATGAAACTACACCGAGATTGCCCCATCTCTTGATGTTGCAGTGCGTCTTTTCCTATCGAACAACCAAACCAATGAAGCTAATGATCTGCAGCATGCAATACCATCAGATAGTCATCTTCACTCACAGACCCTGGGTCTCGAAGAACTACATCCAACCACGCAGTCCTCGCCAGGGTCCTGGCTACCACCATGCGCGCCGAATGTGCATCGAGTCATCGACGGCCATCGCGCGAATTCTCCACATATACGAAAAGCATTATACCTTCCGCCGGATGAACAACCAGGTTGTCGCGATCATCTTCAGCGCCGCTCTGATGCTCCTCTACGTGACCATCTCGAACACATTTTCATCCAGCAAGAACAACAGCGAGAATACTAACAGCAACGCGGAGATGGTGGCGTACCTGAACCTCTGCTTCCGCGCTCTAGACGAACTGGGCCAGTCCTTCGAGAACGCCAAACGAACCCGCGACTTTCTCGTAAGCCTGCAACGCAGATGGCAGGCCCACCTGCGCCGGTCTGGGCCCGCTAAAAAGCGCCAAGTCAGCAAGTTACTCTCGCAGCAATCCGCCGGAGCAGGACCCGGCCCATCCACCGAGTCCGATCCCTCGAGAAAGAAATTCCGAATATCCGCGCCGCGGAACCAGAATCATTCCTCCTATCCTCTCCCGCCGCCAGCACCTTCATCAAACATGCCCTCTACCCACAATATTTCGCAGCCCCAATCCCAGACCCGACAACCCGCGCAACAGTCCCTAAACCAATCCCAGTCCCAGCGTTTCGGCGCCTGCCAACCCGGCGACCTAGACTGGATCCGGGACTCGGATTTCCAACTCCTCGCCGAGAATCTGGGAGATGGCAGACTGGCGCAGATGGGAACGGGCAATCAATTCGAAGGGGAGAATGTCTTGCCCAGTCTATCTGATATCGAACCGTGGTGGGACTCGCCCAATGGACATAATTTCGGGGGCTCTTCATTATAGATACATACCTTAACTTATATATAAGTGGGATTTAATGGATATACTCTTATCTAGGTAATGTTTCTGTTTCAGCGTGTGGTTTCAATAGGATGTTGTATACCAGCTCGATGTATATATATATCAACACTACAAAGAGACACCCTGCAGAAATGTTTGTAGAGAGAGCTCACGTACCCTCACTCTCAATCAGCCACTGTCAGCATCTACTTCCACCGACGGGCTAGAACGAATGGTTCAGCATTCAGGTATCTACTCAGAATATTCACCACTCTTCAGGTCCACCATAGTATACCAAGATACAATGTCATAATCCTCATTAGACAGAAGTATACTTCTAATAGCTCAACTATTTGCATCTGAATCGTTTGAAAGCATCGTCTCACCCAGCCATCTCCCCGCGTCTTCCTCGCCAGAGCCAGGAGGCACCTGGGCAAGCGTGACCCTGCTCTCCCCATAACCCTTTTCCCGGCCCCAGAAACACGCCCTGCGCATGACGTCAACCATCTCATCCGCCTGTTGCGCCAGGACTGAGCGTCGCGGTGGCTTTCTCGGGTGTCGGGGGCCCTGCCGTTTCCCATCTCCGCCTGACGCAGGGACAGGGTCAGGCTGTTCGTTTTCGTTTTCATGGGCGCGGATAAAGAGACGAATGTTCGGGAGGGCCATTTCGAGCCGTTTGATCCCTTGATTGTAAATGTGGTAGCGAGGGGAGACGCTCGAACCATAGTCTAGACCGTATGGGGGCCAACGCGAGAGGGCTTTTCGCCGGCGGATGGCGCGGCCCTGAAAGGCGATGCTGGCATTGGTGGGGTCAATTCTGGATTTCGAGTTTGAGTCTGGATCGGAGAGTAGATCTGTCTCCGAGTCGTAGATATCAACCTGCTGGTGGATTGCCTGATCCTGCGTATCGGGATCCCAGACACCAATCGGTTGCCTGTCCGGCTTACTGGACACAAGCACAGGAACGGGGAAGTCCGGTCCAGTGTGGTACTTCGGGAACGTCCTCGGGACATCCTTACCTGCCGACCGGAGGAACAGGACAGGCGACGCAAAAGCATCAAAGTAGCGCTCCGGCGAGGCAAAGAATTTCTCCCGAGCTTCAAGGAGCGGGACGAGATCCTGCGCAGCGGGGACTCGGCTTCCGGCTCCCCGTGTTCTCTTGGTGGCAGTACTTCCCTCGTGAGCCGGTTGCTCTTCCATAAGACAGTGCTCATCCAAACCGGCCCAATCGCAGATAGGTTCTAGGGCCGCGACGGCATGAACCGATTGCGCTTCGGTGAGGGCTAGCATGAGCGCCAGCGAGCCACCGATGTGTGTGCCGATAACACCTAGGCGCGCGGGTTGGAGGTTCTGTTGGACCCAATCGAATCCGGCCAGGGTATCGTGGACGGGTGTAGGGTACCGATGGAAGACTTGCTTCTTGACCGCAGAGAGACGCCTCTCTTCTTCGTGTTGGGATAGCGCCGAGTCCGATGCGAGGTCTGTCGATGGGGTTGCCCCTAGACGGTAATTGATCGTTACGACCGTAGAGGAGGTGACAGACGCCAGAGCTTCTGAGCAAGAATCATCTTGGCTTCCTGAATCCAAAGAACTACCATGTGTTCGATCAGCCGTGGGCAATTTCATGCCATGTTCTGCCTCTCGCTGAAACAACGGGCCCGGCGGTAGTCGGATGATCACATTTGGTTGGCCATGGGTAGGCGCTATAGAGGGGTAGGTTACACTGTTACAGATATCATGTCATTATAAGCTTTTATGAAGCTTTCTAGAGAGGTATGCTTACTTCAGGGATACATGTCCATTGTTTCCAACTGCAACTTGGAACGACTGGTTAAGGTAGGCCGGTTGCGCAAATCGCGAAGTTGAGAAGCAGCGAAGGTTCGCTCGAAAGTATAAACGGGATGGCGGATAGAGACAGGAGAATTTGACTGCTTTGAACCTGTCTACAAAGTCAATTGCAAGTCGGCGCATTGCGCCATGTTGTTTCCGCGAGGAAGAAAAAGATACGGGTGGGTGGAAATTCATAGCAGTGTCGATCGTTCACATGGAGAAGTCTTGGCACTTTTATCCTATTTTAGAGTGGTAGAGCAGGCATTATTTGTATAGTTTCAACAAGGGTCAATTTCAGGCTGCGTTATATTCATTAGCTATAGAGCTTGGCGGCATGAATCACTTGCTATGCATTATCAAAAATACGCTTGTACATGGATAAACGAGGGTCAGGATATGAGGGCTATACAATCTAATAACAGCTGATATAATAATGGAAGCAGCAACCCCGCAACTTTTGAATCCCAGTCTCCAATATCAATGATTGTTGAGCAATCGGCTGAACTTGCCCTTTGGTAGCGTTGCGCTTGCGGCCGGATCGTCCATGTCAAGAGCTGCTTCGACGTCGTCCTCAGGCACCGGGCGAACAACCGCGAGAGACAGCTGCTGATCTTTCGAATAAACCCGCAATCCCACCACGCAGACTGCATTCCATGGATCGGTGCTAGCTCCAGGGCAGCAACTAGATGCGGCTGGCGGGGCCTTTGTCTCCTCATGCTCCTCAGGGGGCATGTCGAGATCCGAGTCAAACTCGAAACCCTCCAGCAGCTCTTGTTCGCTGTAGTATACTGAATGGGTCATGGAGACGGTGGTGTCCAGGCTCGAACGGAGGGTCTCTCTGCTTCGTTGCCTCACATGGTTTGAACCGTGGTCCTCTGGGAGATTGATCGTGGGGACGCTGCTGTTCTGCACAGGCCTCGTATCAAAGCCATTGGTAGAGGCGCCTGCCAAATCTGCGGGAGATTGCACAGGACCATCGGGAAAGATCTGCTCGGTGGCCCGCTTGTCAGGCTGCTTCTGGTTGAGGCTGCCGTTGCTCATTGTGACACGTCTCTCTGCGGCCCGCTCTTTCCGTGCAGCCATCTTGCGTCCTCGAATCCACTCCTTTTGAAGCCTCCTCTTGGTTTCTTCACGCAGCTTCCGTCTCTCAAGTTTTCTGCGACGCAGCTCACGTTCCTCCCGTGCTTGCTTCTCCTGCTCGGTCTCTACGACCAGACCCTTGGCGTGGGCGAGATCATACGAGAGGCCAATCTGAACGAGCTTCTCCCGCTTGATTGGTGCCAGGCGGCTGACGACCTCTTCCGCGGACTCCACATGGTCTCTTCTGTAAGCAGTGACTTTCACGAGCACATGATATCGACCAGGGTCGAGATTGACTTCGGCGCTCACTGATCGGTTGATAAGGTAGCTGCTATGGCTGCGGACAATGTATTCTTCTTCTCCATCCTTCTGCACTCTGAATTTCAACTCGAAGTCATATTCACCGTCCAGGCCCCTGAAATACCGCGTATCCAGCTGTTCACTGTCAGCACGTGTAAGCTTCTATAAACGAAAGGGGAGTGACCTGAGAGAGGACGATGACGACAGGACCGGCAGTTGTCACATCCATCCTGAATCTCGTGCTGTGATAGTCCGCTGACCATGGCACATTGAGAGTGGTCCATTGCTGGGTGACTGTCCACTCGGGCCCGAAGAGACGGGTGCGATCAAGATGTTGATACTTTTTGAGGAGATCCTCGTAGGAAATCCAAAAGAACTAGTCCCCTTGTCAGCTGACAGCTCCAACAACCGAGGATCGGAGATGCACGTACTCCATCATTTCCGAACTTGTGATCCAACTTCTGCATCCACTCTGGTGTCCATTGCTCTGACCCGTCACTCCACGCACCGTTCCATTCTTTCTTACCCCACGGGTTCCTATCCGGCTAAGCATATGCGCACGGATGTTGAGGAGTGAACTCACCTTAATCGCAGCAGGCGACGACCGTCAACTTCCTTCGCATCCATGATCGAGTATGAATGATTCTCAGAAATTCCCCTTCTGTCTCTTGGGGGCCCTTGGTATTTAGGATCTAACCAGTTGGAGAACAGTCCGGTGCCGCAGCCGAACAGAAATTCATCATTGACTTTCATAAGCTCTTCCTTCCAGAATCGATCCTTGTCCAGGATGTTGCTGGTCAGGATATCTGACGTGACACCTCCTGTCAGATCCTCGAGTGCCTCCCTAAAGCATGTCAGTGAGGGCTTGAAAGTGCTAGGGCAGTGTATCTCACCCTACGAACCCGCCCTCGATTGCGGAAAAATCACCATGTGCCTTGGCATAGGCCTTCTCCAGCAAAGGCAGCCATGTTTCGTTTGGATCCACACACTGGGCAAAGTAGAGTGCCCGTGAGCCTGTCTGCCAGACTTTGCGATACTCCTCTTCGGTATCATTGCGGTTGATGTCGTCCCAAATGGGTCTCTCATCCACGGACTCGTCGTAGTCAGCTGCACGAAGATACAGCTTATCGTCCACAATGCACTTCTGCCATTCCCCATCTGTCGAATCATGTCAGAGTTTGCTCACTGCTCGAATGATGGCGAGGCTACCCACCTCTGTAGAAGATGAAGCCGTAAACGCCGACATTCTCATCTCGCGCAACGCAGATCTTTTCTATCAAACCCTGCTTGTTGCCCATCGTGCAGAGAGCAGCCATAAACCAACAATCGCCATCGCGACCTTGGCGCACATCAGACGCAGTCGGTCCATTGACGAAGAACTGCGGTTTCTCGAAAATTTCCTGACGAAAAAAATCAGCGCCGTCTGCAATGAACCAACAGCTAATCTGAAAAAACATACAGTGACTCTTTTCACCCCTTTCGGGCGCATTTCATGATTCTTCTGATCGAGCGAATCCAAGCAATCCCTCCGTCCAGATTTGAGGTCAACCTCAATATCAAAGTGTGGATCGGTGTATTTCTGATTCACCCGCCTGCACTCTTTCACGATGCGCTCGACAGCCCGTTCGCACTCTTGTTTGGCTTGCTCGTAGGACTTCCCCGCATTCTGACCTTTGATCGTGCCCCTCCGTATACTGGCCGCTTTCGAGCGCGCATACGGATTGTCAGGCAGAACAGTGTAGACCTTACCGGGGTACTTGGTGCTGAACTGATTCCAGAATTCCCTCATGATCTCCTGGGGGTTCTGCTGCACTCTCCGCGCTCGACTATCCGAGCGCGTTGAGAGGGGTGGGGTATAATCCATGTCGATATAGTCTTCACCAGTATCCATGATGCTTGGATCGACTTTGAAGACCCAGATAATGCGCCAGACTCGTCAGTGATGGAAGGTGAGGACTTTTTTCTCAGTAAAATCTCGAGGTAAAATCTCGACAAGAGCAGCATATGACCCTGATAAAGGTTTAAAGAACCAACCTCTGGCTGTAAGCAGTCTAGTAGTGCTCAGCCGTGCTGAACCGCGACGCCGTCACCACACGTCAAAAAAGCCAAAAGCAGTATATTCTGTGAACCGTTACACCCATCTCGTGTCCAGCCTGAGGCTGAGCCGAATCGACGAGCCATAACGGAGTCAACGGTTTGGCCCCATGCATCAACGACACCAGGATAAGGAAAAGGGGCCAATCAACGAGTAAGAACTCTCGAGATGAAGAGTGGGGGATTGCAGGAAATGCAGCCCTGGGGCGCCCGTGTCAGCATTCGGGCCATTCTGGATTCGCGTTTCACGCCATTCACACATGGCTGCTGCCAAGTTGTAGTACGCTTATGCAGAGTCGAATGTGCTTGGGCTGAGTCGGGCCAATCATGGAAAAGGGCGGGATTATCCCAAGTCCATACCCGGCGTTTTGTCTGTTGGTGGCCGGCCCCTGAGCTGAAAACATGCTCCTAGATAGCAGCTGAAGCAACGGGAAATATAGCTTAGAATAGTTATTCGTACACCCGTTGCAGACTTGTAACAATATAGTTGGTATAACTATCAGATTGTGAGCAGGGGATGTTGCTTCACAGCATGCAGTCGGCGTCCAGAACAAGTACGGTGTGCCTGAGGCTGTGCCTCTCCTGCGTCCGTCCAGAGACCTGGAGCTGACAAGGCTGATCGAATTAATGGTCTCAGTTAAGACGCCCGCGGCCCTGTTTCCTGGATCGGGAACCAAAGTGGGCTAGATTCCCTGCATTCTGTTGCATTCTTAGCTTCTTTCTTTAGACATCTGCGTAACCTTGACCATGTTGGCTCCTGTCATCTTTGGTAAGCACTACCATTTAGTTACAGGAAGCCAGCTGTGCAATTGGTGACCCGAGTCCTGAGAAACATTGCACACAATAAATGTTGGACTAGGAGATACAAAATATCGAAACAGGTATGTGGTATGTACGCTTCTGTGAAATGGAAAAATGGTCCATGAAATATCCAGTAACCTAACCTCTTTCCTGCCTTATCACACCACACTAACGCCGTAGAACAACAATTGCAGCCAATAAAAGAAAAAGATAAGATGAAAAGAAAGAAGCGGCAGCGCCCGACACATTGGTAACGAGTCACAGGCCAGCAGGGCGAGTAAGTCAGCGAGGTCAGCTGCGTTGCCAACGGCTTCCAGTGGTCTCGGCATCTGTCAGCCTCTCATGCATACATACATTACAGACGAACGAGTAAAAATCGTGACCAGTTTCCAGTTAGTGGTATCCATTCCTCCGACCGCGACCCGAGTAGTAAGCGGTACCGTGTGCAAAATAGGGGTGCATGCAGGCCTGTTTGGCGGAAATTCGACGGGCGGGATCGTACTCTAGTAGAGCCTCCAAAAGGTCAAGACCATCCTCCTCCAGGCCAGGGACCAGCGTATGGGGATCTTGGCGCTTCCACTTGGGGAATGTTGGTTTGTAGTCAGGGAATGAGGTGACGCCAGGCCAGGTGTTTTCATCAGGAGTACCAAGGAGTCTGTGATGAGGCGTTTATTAATAATGACCCTTATTACACCAGTTGCCACAATGAACAAGCATACCTGAAGATCTTGAAAATCTCGTCAATCTCGGAGTCGCCAGGGAACAATGGCTTGCGTGTGCACATTTCGGCGAAAATAGCACCACAGGACCACATATCGACGCCAGTAGAGTATTGACGACCACCAAGCAGGATTTCGGGAGATCGG